ATCGCCCAGTGGGCCTTCCATCTCACGTTTACGTCCGGTTTCTTGGCTCCCACGGCCCCGCCGCCAGCTCAGGCTAGCGCAGATCCCCTGTTTAACCGGCTGGTGGACTATCTGCGTTGTGATGGTGACGACAAACTGGCCGCTGGTGGAGAAGACGATCACATCGTGTCAGCTCTTCTCTCCCAGCTACGTATCACCGTACTGCCGCCCGCTGATTCGGTGGTTGTAGGCCCTGCCGCCGCCCCTGAAGGAAGTCTTATCCAATCGCTGGGCGCCGCCATTGAACTGGCCGTGCTTATGACTGGCTGCCATGGTGAGACTATCCCTTTATTTTTGGCTGTAATGTGTTTTTGACGTGGTGGATTTCGCCGCATCTGCCTATTTCAATACTTCTGTCAACACTTTGAAAAAGTGTAGGCAGCTAGCATTGCAGACAAAGACGAGGGAGACCGGAGTGTCCGTTTCTGTCTCACTAACCGTTGTCAGCCAATTATACCCGCCAATCCAAACTGGTGCCCCACCTGGGGTTTGAACCTGCGACGTTGTTAGTTAGAAGTCAAACGCTCTAACCACTGAGCCACGAGTTCATTGTCTTGCGCCTTAAAATGCCGTATCTACAATACTCGCAAGTGATCAATAACTGTTGGTGACGCAGGCTGAGGAGAATGGATTCGCCCCTAAAATTAATTTGGCCGGTAGCGGTCAGAAACCGAGTTGCTACAAAATCCCTGAAAGTCACCCAATTTAAGCACATTTTGTGACAACAAGTGCTTTTTCGTGACGCTACAACTAATGCTGATCTGACAACGCGTATTATGAATAGGATTAACGTTAGAATTAGCTTGACCTGTAGGTATGTATGTAATACGAACTGCTTCACTGCTAACAAAACTGCTCACTTGAATGATAATGCTGTGCACGTTAACTGTCCATTGCCACAGTCTGTGTATTACGCGCCTACCAAGAGATTTTGTTCGTTAGGTTATTCGCACAAGCATAAGTTGCCGCCAAATTGTACCAGCCCTACTATTAGTCAGCTACACTGCTAGTAAGCAGCAGTATAAATAATAGTAACAATATCAGACTGGGTCTGCTTGAGTCCTTCTGGACAGCTACTAAAGGTGAGTGAGTGTGCAGTAGGACCAGCGCAAAAGGTTACTGTCACCTAAGACTAAGTTAGTATGTGTTTTTGGCCTGCATTGGAGAAAGCAGCGTACGTCTGATTCCTGCTCGGTGAGTTCGACTCTGTCTTGTCACCGGTTCAGGCGGGGGGAAAGTTTAGACTGTAGTAGATGGCTGCTCGTCCACTTTCCCTATACCTGACTACAGTCACCATCCCTACTCTTGGCCATATGGTGGACATAATCGAAATCGATGGTCGAACTATCGGTTGCCGCCAAATGAATTATTGACGCGAATATCGTTTAACTTTTATTAGCTGCGGCTTTTGGTTTTGAAGCCTTTCTGTGTCAGTCCGGTGGCATCGTTAGTCATTTGGCGTCAGGGTGGTTTGGGCAGAGGGAGCGTCAAACAGCCATCCCGGCCTAGACAAATTCTAAACACAGAAAAATATTTGATTACTGGAACAAGAATGTTATTTTCCTGACGTTTCGGATTCTGTCGAGAATCCTTACTAATAGATAACCGTAGAATGGTGTGGTACATGCATATATTGCGCGGTATTTATAGTTCTTAGCGGCTAGCCGCGTGCTTACTATAATTATCAGCTCCTGTAACCACAGCTTGGGGTCTTAGTTGGTGCGGTGATGGCTCGGCAGTTCGATTTCGACTCATTAATGGCCGCTCTTTCGGTGTCCGTGTCAGATGCGGGCTTGATAATTGCGCGAAAATTACGTTCACTGTCGTCAGAGTTGTTGCTGGGCCCGGCCCTTTCCACGGGGCTCATTCTCCTGCTCAGGTAATGTCTCAGTACGCAGTATGGGCACAGCAAATCGTTGCGTTTGCTGATAGACTGTGGGCCTGTGAACCATAACTCGAGCAGCTCGTGGCTCATGTGGTTGTCACCTCTTATGAGGATTTCGGCTGTTACCATACTGCGTACTGAGGCCTTGCCTGAGCAGGAGAATCAGCC